ATAACTGGTCATATAGAAGTTTCCTCCTACTCACATGTATTTCCCCAAATTCTTGCAAAGGGATATGCCAATACTACAGCCAAATGTGGAAGTTTTACATACAGTGGTGCCCCGCATAGCGACGATAATCCATGCAGCAAAAATCGTCGCTATACGGATTCATCACTATGCGAAATTAAAAAGCCCATAGGAATGCATTGAAACCCCTTCAATGCGTTCCTATGGGCTTAAAACTTACCTTTTAAGCGAAAATCCTCCATACGGTGGCCATTTTAGCTGCCCGGTATGCGAGGAATCCGTCCCTGTTTTACCCGGCAGCCATTCTGGAATTGCTGATCAGCTGGGGGAAAACATTGCTATGCGAAAATCGGTAAGCGAAAACATTGTCGCTATGTGGATTCATCGTTAAATGGGCGCCTGTTATGCGAGGCACCACTGTACAGTATTTAAGTTCTTTGTCATTGAGTTCCAAATTGTATTTAGGTACCACACAATTTTTGTGTACATGTAGCACTATACTGTATTTCATGAAAAATCACATGGTTCCTGAAATATCACATAAATCATACCTGGAGAAGCAGATTTATTTCTAAGCATGTAAATGCACCTGCTCACTTCTATCTAGGGTTTTAGGTTTAGTCGCTAGAGACAGAATTATCTTCATTTTTACTACAGTTAATAATCATACTGCATGTTCCATTTCAAATGAAGACAACAGAGAATTTCCTCTGAGGAGAAAAACTGCTTGTGTGAATCAGAACCAGCTGAGACGATATTCGTCACTGTTAGTGGAACTATAATTATTCGTGGCCTCTGTGAATCACAGCCTGGGTGATTGCTGATCAGCTGGGGGGAAACATTGCTATGCGAAAATCGGTAAGCGACATTGTCGCTATGTGGATTCATCGTTAAATGGGCGCCTGTTATGCGAGGCACCACTGTACAGTATTTAAGTTCTTTGTCATTGAGTTCCAAATTGTATTTAGGTACCACACAATTTTTGTGTACATGTAGCACTATACTGTATTTCATGAAAAATCACATGGTTCCTGAAATATCACATAAATCATACCTGGAGAAGCAGATTTATTTCTAAGCATGTAAATGCACCTGCTCACTTCTATCTAGGGTTTTAGGTTTAGTCGCTTTATTGTTTCTTCCTAATTCATTGCCCCTTTGGGCCCATTTAAGCACTGCATTTTCTGTGATAATAAGATCCCCTTTGCCAACAGACACACCAAGTGCCTTTTCTGTTTGGGAGAAGAACATCAAACCTCCTCCTGCGCCCATTGCAAAAATTTTGTCGGTGTCAAATACCATTTTAAACCCAATTTGAAAAAAAATTATCTTAGTATTCTCACTGACATAAATCATAAAACCCTCATTTTCCATATCTTCCCCCCTTCCCACTTGTATAAGTACCTTGGCGTCAAGCGTCCCCTTTCAGTTTCTTTCAGCCACCACGTTGAGAGTCCCTTTTTCTGTTTCTGCTTCTGTGGGTAAAGTGAGAAAATAGCTTAATCTTTATTCCTTTTATTTCATTTTCTTTTAATACAATTGTACAACTAAACAAGTATAAAATTTTTATTTTAGATATTTCGGCCACTCCCCCCCCCCATCCAATTTATTTTTCTTTATTGTTTCTTCCTAATTCATTGCCCCTTTGGGCCCATTTAAGCACTGCATTTTCTGTGATAATAAGATCCCCTTTGCCAACAGACACACCAAGTGCCTTTTCTGTTTGGGAGAAGAACATCAAACCTCCTCCTGCGCCCATTGCAAAAATTTTGTCGGTGTCAAATACCATTTTAAACCCAATTTGAAAAAAAATTATCTTAGTATTCTCACTGACATAAATCATAAAACCCTCATTTTCCATATCTTCCTCCATTCTTCTTCATTTATTCTTTTTCCTAAGTCTTGTTCCCACGTTAACGTCAATCCTTCTTCCTCAGTCTCTCTAGCATATACCTTTATATCACTTATTCCCCATCTTTGTCCAACTCCTGAAAAGTACCATCTCATCCCTGCTAGACAACCGAGAGGATACAAGGGCTTGCTAATGAAATACTATCTATAGCCAGTGTGGTTTACTTGGAGTACATCTTAGAATCGCAGAACTGTAGAATTGGAGAGGTCCCTTATCTTGTCCAGTCTAACCACCTTTCTGTGTACAAATTATTATTACAATCTTTCCTTAGGGCTTTGGAATAGATATTCACTGTTGAGTAACCATTGAATTATATAGCATCTGTTTCATGTGTCCACAAGAAGTTATTGAAGAATAATTTAATGCATAAATCAGATTATAAAGAAAGTTATAGTAATTCACCAACTATCTCACCCACCTTGCTTTCTTGGCAATAAGAGGGTGAATGGATCATAGTGTGACACTGGACATATTTACAGTAGTAATTGTGTATATTCTCACATTGGTAAACTTACTGCTGTACTACTGAGGATTAGAAAAATCCAAAGGCTTGCCCACAGATCTACAGTCTAGCAATATCTAAATATCCTCAAGCACAGGGGGCCTGAGATTTTACTTTTCAATTTTCTTTCTGCACAAACAATCACAGCTGTGATTGCTGCCATTTTAGGGGGCAAGTTTTGTTTGGCCAACCCTGGAGATGGCAATCTTATTGCTTCATTGATTAGTATTCTGCCTAGTTGCTTCCCACTGCTTTGGAGTCAGCTTGTAGCCATTGCCTGGCAACCACAGTGTAAAAGTACAACACCAGCTCCGAAGTGCAAGCATGCTGCTATTAAGAAACTACCAGCCTCTTTTTTCGCCTGCGAGGAAAAGACAGATTAGAAGAAGGAGCATGGAGAAATAAGCAAGGAAAGAAAATAACTGCAGGGTGAATGCACGAGAGTCTCATTTAGAGACATTTGGAACACTTGGGCTTCCAGAGCTAAGGTTTGGTCTGTCTGTTTATATTTCTTCCTTTGCTCCTCCCACCTCAGCAAATTGTGTTGTGGAGGAAAAAGTCAATATGTGTCTTGAAGCAAGATTGCCAGGCGTATATTTGCTGTCCCTTTCTTGCCCTTTTCTAGCATGTTCTGTGCATGTTCCGGTCAAATAACAGCACCCTGTCCACACCATTTTGGACAAGGCTTGTGCAGAGTTCTTTAAATGGGCATGTCTGTTTTCAGGAACAGTTTTGTCTTAGATTTGGTCCTAGGTTTGACAACAGAAAGTGGTGTTTCAAAGTCTGCCTCTCCTAATGAGTCTTAAGTGATAGCAGTTTTTCTGACCTTTCATTTGAGGCAATTGGTGAAAAAAAATCTCCTTCTCCCAAGTCAGCTGTGTCTGACATAGATTGCGGGAGATGCAGCCAATACCATAGAATCATAGAATAACGTAGTTAGAAGGGCTCTACAGTATAAGGCCATCGAGTCCAGCCCCCTGCTCAACCCAGGAATCTAAATAAAAGTATATCTGAGAGAGGCCTAGCTAATATTCTCTTGACTGCCTCCAGCATTGCATACCATTTTTGCATAGCTACACACCTTACAATTGTGTGCTGGTCATGTATGCGCTATCCCGCTCAGTCTCCTAGAATGTACAGAATCCGAATATTGGTGTGCTGGTCATGTATGCGCTGTCCCGCTCAGTCTCCTAGAATGTACAGAATGTGCATGCACACCAATACAGCTTCATACTCAAATATAAATTTAAAGTCTACAGTGAGGAGATAATGCATCTTTGCAAATGAATGTTCAATGTGTATGCAAACTCTGGGTCCCTGGATAAATTCAGCCTATAGATATTCTCTTTATGTACTCCAGCTGGGTCTTGCATTTGGAAATGTTACATTTCTTTCCTATTGGTTAACAATTTTGTCAGAGACATAAATTACTTGGAAATTATGTTGCCTATTTGCAGAAAAATTATGGGTGAGGTGTACTTTGTATAGGTTAGCTTATAGGAATATCTCTCAGCCTTCCTGGCCCTCTGGATTTTTCATACATGATAGAATTTATGGCTTGAAAAACGTGTGCTAAGTTAGCTAGTAATTCTATATGGCTGGATCCTGACAGACCTATTTGTTTTTTATAGTTCTTATTTGAAAGCTTCCTAAATATCTCTTCACCAGACCCACGTTTTCAGTGGTCTGACAAATGTTCTGGGTAGAAGATATGGTGGCTTGCTTAACATGGATATTAGTGTCCCATTCCCCATAAGGTAGGTATAGCTGAGGCAGTTACAAGGTGAATTGCAAAATAAATTTCAGATACCAAACAGGAATCTTGGCTTTGCCAAGGCTGCAAAACAAGCTGTCACATACAACAGGGGTTTTCTAGTAGGAATCACTAAGATAAAAGCCTTGTCCAAAAGACCCAGGACTGACTTAAATCCAGAAATGGAAGAAGCCACACCTCAGAGAAGATGCATTGTATCATACCCGTTTACACAGGGAAATGTATGAAACTGTGTTATATTGAACTGGGGAACTGATTCCTTCTAGCACAGCAGTTTCTGCAAGGACTAGCATTGGCTCTATAAACTCTTAGGCTGGTATCCTCAGTAGCACCTGGTTCTTAATATCACTTTTGACATGAAAAAGCATTCTACCTGCAGAGCCTGTGCTTTCTGCTCATCTATGGACCATCCTCCATTTCACTGCAGCAGGTACTTATTTAGTCTCATGCTGATCCTGCATGAAGGTGTCGCCAGTTAGCTCTTTGGACTAGCAGGTAGTGCTGGAGGGCTTTGCTTGTTTTGCTTGTCCTTTTGGAAATGCCAGCTAGGCTGATTCCGGAGCAGATGATCCCACTGTGACTATCCTAGTTTCCTGTTTCACTCCCATCTTTAGGATACAACGGCTCTCATTTATTTCTGTAGTATGAAGGCTTTAATCCAAGAACCAAAGGTGAAAGCTTAAATGCTATCACCCCCCATCAATGTTTATTCTGCAGTGCTATCTGATTTTTGCTTTCTTGCATATACCTAGGGAGAAAGTGGGATTTTAATGGGATCTTTATTTGCCTTCCAGAGCCTAGGATCGGCAGACAAGAAGGATTTATACCCTTCAAAGTAAGTCTATGTTCTTCAGTCTATGATTTCAATGATATTTAACAAAGAAGTAAATGTATATTCATGATCGACATCTCAGTATATCAGCAACCTGCATTACTAGTGAGATTCTGCCAGATGTGACCTAAAATACCCTTGTATTCTGTAGACAGCCACCACCCTAACACCTGAACCCTGGTTTGTGGTAAACCCAAATATGTGGCAGATGTTGCTGCCCTGATCTGGAAGGAATGGGTTCCAAATTCTGTTGCCCTGAGCCCCATTTTGCTGAGCCCTGCCCTAACTACTGCACTAAACTGAAAACAGGTAAGCAGAATTATATCCAGATGAACAAACAGCAGGCTTTCAGATTGAGGCTGGTGACTTATGAAGTTCCTCACTGCCTTCATGGCTAAATAGCAGGCTCCTTAGCCCTTCTCAAGGTTATACGCTCTCCCCGCCCCTTTCTGGTTCATCTTGGACTGGCAAAGGCAAATCACCATATCGTCCTCGCCCATAAGCACCTGCCGAACAAGCAACTCCCTTCTGGTTGTGTCCTGTTTGGAGGCAATTACCAGCTCACTCACGCGGAGTGTCCCCCAAAATAGCAACACGCCTCCCTAATTAAAATAACTTCAGACTTTCACTACAGTGTCAGCAACTGGTTAGCAGTGAGCCAGCTATCATCCCCTCTTAGTGGCACCATCGTCCTCCAACCCTCGATAGCCTTAGGGGCCTGAAATGACATACAAGGATCCGCATGACCCTAAACCTTACCAAAAAATTAAACTGCTGCCAAATTGATGGCCATAGTCTTTGGTGCCAAGCTCCTTTACTTCAGGAATGCCTCCCTGCCCCCTTAGCTACAAAAGTGCCTAAAAGTTACAGTTACATCACAGTTGTAATATAAACTATTTATAATTTCATTAGTGGAAAAAGATTTGATTGCAAATTAGATATTGTTTGTAACTAGTTATTTCCAGGTCCTGCTCCCTTTGACATACCTTGTTGTCCAAAATATGTGATTATTTATTTTGGAGAATGTCACAGACTTTTGTAACTTCCAAACCAACAAGGAAGCACTAGTATATGTTGTATTCAAATGAGAGTGTGTACTGTAGATTACAAGAAGGCTGTGAATGTACAACAAATGTGTGTGACACAAAGATACAAGCTAGCCACACTTTAACCTGCTTTTGTGTACAGTACCATATTTCAGGGTCCTTCTTTGCCACATTGAAAATGTAAACATGCAGAGGGTGAAATGGATTATATTGGCCTTTGGCATTACCGCACAGCCGCTGTGCCATGAAAACTGAAAAGTTACTGAAATCTGCCGCATAGTGCTTGGTATGGCGCAAACACTCCTACCCAATGACCTCGCTAACTGCCTGCCATCACCATGTTTAAAATGTTTCATGCTTGAGACTTGGCTTCTAAATCAGCATTTAGATTTTTTAAAAATTAAGAACTATTTGTCTGCTTGCTTCAGGGCACTTTGTAATTGCTAGTTTAACAGAAAGGGAGTGTTAGCTGTCAGTAAAACTACTCCCTTCTCTATGCCCCTTGGCAGAGTGCTTCATTCAGAAGGCTAAAGTTTGCTGTCTCAAATGATATGTACAGCATTAGTCAGCCTTGGTATTTCTGCTGCAATCTGTGCTGTCTCTCTGACAACGGGATCGCAAAGGTGTGCAATGAGACTGAAAATATTGCATAGCAGGGTTGCTCTATATTGAGGAGGTGCTTCGCCAGCATGACTCTGCTTCCAGCGGAAATGGGTCTTTCTTATTAGGACTAGACATATCTGCAGTGTTTCAGTAGTGTCCATGAAGGAGGTGTGTGCTTATCCTTAGGAAGTGGACTTCATCTATAAAAACTTACTATTTGTTTAATTTATCAGTGGTCCAATAAAAGGTATCACCTACTCTTGCATATGTACAGTATATCCTAGTAATTCTAGTTATGTACTTGTCTGTAGCTATCCTCAGATCTTTACTAGGAATCTGTAGAGATGGTGTGTATAAACTTGAAACATGTTTCAGATGCTGGATCTGCTTTCAAGGGAATACTGCTCTAATGGAGCCACTTCTTCCCAACTTCTCCATTTTATGTCCATATACAGCTTTTCTGTCTCTATACAGCTTATCCTCCTTCCTCTGAGGCAGCTGGGTTTTCGCTTACCCTCCTCTTTCACTGTTGTGGGGGTGCAGTTCTGATTGCCTTGGGCATTGATGGTGAGGCAACGAGCAACTCTAATGCTGAGGTACAGGCTCCTACGCATTTGCCTCTCCCACAAACATCAGCCCCTTGTGCTTGCCTTTACTGCACTGTGTAGTTATTGTGACCCTGAAAGCAAGCATTGTATCCTAAGGAGATACAGTTCTTCATATTGATTGTATAGTACTTCAAGGTATGGACTTGTTGGCGGCAGAACAGCTGTGTCACCTTCCGGTTTAGTAAAGCCAGTCTGACTAGTTCTGCCTTGCCTCCACTGCCCTGCCTGGCTGAGTGCTCTCAAATTAAACAGTGAGCAATTGAAAGATGATGTACATTTAAATAAATTGGCCGTAAACATTGCCAAAAAAATAGCTGTCTTAGTCTGTATGAGCATGTTGGAAAAAAATAAAGGGGGAAGAGGGAGAAGATGGCAGAATATAGCAGTACTTTAAAGACTAATAGATTTATTCCAATCTGAGCTTCCGTGGATCAAAATCCATGCATATGTCAGAAGAATCTGATCCATGTAAAGTCACATTGAAGTAAATATATCGGTCTTTAAAGTGCTGCTATATTTTGCCTCCCTCCTCCCTCTTTTTTGGTAATATACATGTTGCTTAAGCTGGGTGAGATGCTTAGAGTGGTTGATGGAATGGTGTTCTGGAGAAGAGACTGATTTGTTTTTTGCAGTAGAACAGCATATATAGTTAGCCTTGGACATCTGCCACACAATGTCTGCTGCCTTTTTTCTTTGCCCACCCCAACAGATATATGACGAAGTGTCACTTGCTCAACAGCATGACAAATAACAAATCTTCCTGCATCTCCCTGCTTCTTATCAGAAAAATTAAGTCAGAAGGACATTTTGGGAATGGACTTTGATATGTGTGCTTAACCTCTGCATTTTTATTACTGACCGTGAAACATGCCTGAAGTTTTGCATAGCAACCATATCCTGGGCTGCTCCCAGACTTTAAATATTACTTAAATTATTGCTTAATGGATCCTGTATGGGATCTTTGAGCCTTAAGCTTCGAATTGTCCATCTACATAGGAGACAGGTTTTATTTAAAATCCCATCTCACACATCACTTACTTTTTTGGATACAAGGAAGGAAGTTAAGCTCACGGCATTAATATCTACACATGGTCTGATGTGGAAACTTCTAGTTGCAATATTCCTTCCCAGAACAGCGTGAGCATCATCTCTTCAAGCATGACCTTATACCCTTTAACTGCCCCGAGCCCTCGTGATGTCTTACTATAGCCTGAAGGCAAAATGCGGATTAGAGTTTGCCTTCTGTCTAGGCAGTAGTTTTGTCAAGACTGTTTGTCGATGTGGGTATGTTTGGTTTTATTAGCTGCAGCTTTCTATGTGCTGGGATTGCACTGGGAGACTTTCTGCTATGTTGGTTGCTATAGAAACACAAGTGTTTCCTCCACTTTGCCACAAAATGCAGCCTTTTAAATAATTTTACTTTCAGGCCAGTTTAAAATGCCTAAACTGATACTTCACTTATGCATCACAGTTGTACAATTGTCTGTGATGAATTTTTCTTTTTGTTTTGCTTTAGTTTTTAAAGAGTATATGTGTGTGCATATATAGATGGATAGATAGAAAGAGAGAATTCAGAGCTGGATGGGATGTTCATCCGACCATAAGAGTAACTCTCTCTCCAGCCGTGCTGCCCTCTACAAGTCCTAAAGGGACCACCCTGAAGAAGAAGAGCAACTGAAAAGTCATTCTCCATGGCCATTCAGGTCTTGCCTCCCACTGCAAGTCAGGGGTCATTGGTGGTAGTGGTTAATGACTGGTCACTGCTAGTTTAATGAGCAATTGAAGAATGAAAACAGAATAAAAGTGCATGGCTAGCAGAATACATGGTTGGCAAAATTGCCTTACTATCCGCTGGCAGACTGTGTTCCTTATATCCTCAACACCAATTAATTGAAAGCCTAAACAGGAAGCCTTGTATCTCTTAGAGACAACCCTAGAATTGAAATCTGAAGGGGGTCAAGGGTTGCGTGATCATGAATTGTGTTGATGCCTATAAAAGAAAGTGGGCAGCAAAGTGTGCCTTCTGTATATCAAATTTAATCACCTTTTTTCCCTTCGATAAAATGATAAAGGCAATAGATGTTATAGCCATGATGCCCCCATTTTATTATGCAAGTTGTTGAAGTCCTTCAAAAAGGGACACTTAATTGCATTTTTATAATGAGCAGTAATAGATGGAGAAGCTGTATTGTGCTTACCGAAAAAAGGTAAGAAGCAGACTATGGTACAGACTGTGAAATTACACTGTCAAATATTAGAGTGAAGAGGAATGTTAGAAGAGCCATAATGCCAAAATAGCATTTCAGGTTAAACCCGTTTAAAGAATTGATTTGCAGTATTATGCTCAATTGACTGTGATTCAGAAACACTGTGGACTGAAATCAGAAATATAATTAAGGAACCGTGCAAAAACTCCTGTTCTGGTAGTCAGAAGAAAAAAAAAGCCTAGATGAATGATAAAACTCTTAAAACAGTTATCAACAGGTGAGGAGCAAATGTAAAAGATGACAGAAATAGGATCAGAATCCTGAATGATGATTCTCATATAGAAATGAAGTGATTTTCAGTTATTGTCACGTAGAGACAAAGAGTACTGTTACAGTAATCAGCCAACAAAATAGAAGAGAGAACAACATATATGTTGTTAGCTGCCCAGAGTAGTCAGTTGACTAAATGGGTGGGGTATGAATGAATGAATGAATGAATGAATGAATGAATGAATAAATAAATAAATAAATAAATAAAC